ATTGATGTAGTCTATCGTCCCCCATCATCCCCAGAGATGGCCAATGAGACGCTTTTACTAACTATGTCACACATTCTTGCACAAAAATTTACCCCAGTTCTCTTTATGGGTGATTTCAACTGCCCCGATCTAAATAAATCAATAACCGTTCGTTCATTTTTCGAACATCATTTTAAACGGCTGATTGACTCGTATCCACTATACAACCATGTAAAGGTGGCCACTAGGTTTGGCAATCTACAGTCACCGTCCATACTGAATTTGGTACTGACCAATGAGGAGCTGACGGTAGAGTCTGTCAATGTAACTTCCCCTCTAGGACGCAGCGATCATGCAGTACTTACATCCAAATACGTCTGTTACGCTTCGATTCAAGGAAGTTCTTCTGGTAACACGCGCAGATCAATAGACTAAACACTGTTGAATAACTTGGCGCTCTCTGCTCAGTCGGTTTCTTATGACGAAGAATCTAATCCGTTGGTCGCATGGAAGAAATTTATTGGCAATCTCACAAATATAATAACATCCGTGACTAAAACTAGAGTAATCACCAATTCCGGCATCCGAACTTCGCCTATTCAAAGTGGCACAAGGNAATCTTACAAATATAACAACATCCGTGACTAAAACTAGAGTAATCACCAATTCCGGCATCCGAACTTCGCCTATTCAAAGTGGCACAAGGAAATGGCTATCGGCGAGGGACTTATCCTGGCGAGATTATAATCGTCTTCCGAATGCTGTCAAATGGACTAATTACCGAATGCTGAGGAACCACTGTACCAGGTTGATTCGTGAGAATAAAGTGAAATACCAAGAGGCGCTAGCACAAAATTTCATTTCTAAACCTAAGCTGTTGTAACAACACGCCAAATCCGCTAGAAAAGAAAAGTTTGGTATAACAGTACTAACTCGCACTGGGAGAGTTGCAGCCAATCCAACGGAAGCAGCTGAAAGGCTGAAAATTCATTATTCGAACGTCTTCGCAGCACCGCACGTTGAAGGTTTACAACTACCTCCCTGGTTGAATCATCTTCCACATCCTTCACCAACATACGTATGATTTGCTGCTGAAAACGTCAAAGCGAAACTAATGGCTCTGCGAAAAAATGTAACCCCAAGTGCGGACAACATACACTCGAAATCTCTGATCTTTTTGGCAAATCACATATCCGAACCGCTAGCCATTCTGTTTTAACGAATGTTCGACCAGGCAACACTTCCCGAATTGTGGAAACAAGGGGTCATTTCGCCCATATACAAAGGTGGTTGTCGTAGTGACCCCGCTAAATACCGACCTATAACCCTACTTCCGGTGTTATCGAGAGTCATGGAGTCAACTGTGGCCGATTCTCTGATGGAACATCTCGAAAGACAACATTCTTTCGACAGCTCAACACGGATTTAGGCAAGAGCGATCCTGCTCCACCAACCTGCTTCCTGTTCCAAATAAATGCACCAGAACAGTCGAAGAAGGGGATGCGGTGGATGCGAATTATCTCGACTTCTCGAAGGCATTTGATCGGGTGAATCACAAAATGTTGCCACAGAAGCTCTACAATTACGGCGTTCGGGATTTCCTGTTTGATTGGATTAGAGCGTTCCTCGAACAACGGACCATATCAATTCGTGTTTCTGATTCCACATCCGGATCTATCAAAGCCACCCGCGGTGTTCCATAAGGGTCCGTACTCGGTCCCC